TTTGGTCCTCCTTCTGCTAAACCCCAGCCCCAGGTGATGCCTACTGTAGCTCTCTACAACTGAGCACCTACCTGGGCACTGGAGAAAGTCACATGCAGGCAGATAGTGTCATTCTACTTTCATGAGCACCAACTGCAAATGAGCACTCTGCAATGCTGGTTGATCCTATCAGATTTCTCTCATTGACTTATTCTTTCTCTCTGCTCAACTGTTACTTCACTTTCAAACTTCCACCCCTTCTGACATCCACACCACCAGCACCAACCCCATTCTCAGGTGATCTTGCCTCCTAAAAGAGAAATGGAACCCTCACACAGAAATTACCTGTTATCAGATTTATACCTCCACCATCCTTCAGCTTCGTCCCTCCTGTTGCATCCTCTTCCCTTCTCTCATCCAAAGCTCACCACTCTACGTGGGCTTTAGATACCTTCTCAGGCTTACATAACCAATTACCTTTTCTCTCCTGTTTATTCAATCAACGTTTTCTTTTCAACCAGATCTTTCCCATCAACACTTCAATATCCTCAAGCCTTACCTTTAATCTCACATGTCTCTACCTAGTACCTAGTTTATTTTTCCCATTCTTTACCTTTGGCAATGTTAATGACTGTTTTTGGCAATGCTGATCAATCTTCTCCCTGAAATCCTCCTTACTTTGACCTCTACAACACCCTTCTCCCTCCTGCTGTGCCTCCCTTCTCTATGCAGGCTCCTCCTCCTCTATCTGTTCTTTAGGATTTGAGCTCCTCAAAGCTTAAACCTAGACCTACTTTTTATTTCACTGTATATCAGCAGTCCAAAAGCCCAACTACCCATAGAGCAGCGGTTCTCAACCTGTGGGTCGCGACCTTTGGGGATCGAACGACCCTTTCACAGGGGTCACTTAAGACCATCAGAAAACACATATATAATTACATATTGTTTTTGTAATTAATCGCTATGCTTTAATTATGTTCGATTTGTAACAATGAAAATACATCCTGCATATCAGATATTTACATTACGATTTATAACAGTAGTAAAATTACAGTTATAAAGTAGCAACAAAAATAATTTTATGGTTGGGGGTCACCATAACATGAGGAACTGTATTAAAGAGTCACGGCATTAGGGAAGTTGAGAACCACTGCACTAGAGGCAAGCAAGGAATACAATTAAGTGAAGCAAAGTTGACTCTCACTTCCCTCTCAACACACAGCAGAAGAGCAGGATATCTGGCAATGGACCTTTGGATCAGGTAAGGTGACAATAGGGAAAGGTACAGACTATAATAAAATGAGAGCAGATGCTCCTACTGAGACAATGGTCATTTAGCACAGGCCAGAGGCCCCAAGTTATAGATGAAAACTCACAATTTTTAAATCTTGGCAACTGCATCAATTAAGATTGCTTTCTGATACAAATAAAAGAAATCTTGGTTACATCCAAAGGAGAATGCATTAGCTCTTGTAACTGAAAAGCTCAGGAGTACAGCTGCCACTGGGTTTAATCAATGTGATCAGGACCGGTTTCTTTATCTGGATTCCACTTCTCCTTTGTCATCTCTATTCTCAAATATGCTCTACCCTACGACAGTAAGGCAGCTGCTCACCTCCAGACTACATCCTGCCAGGTTTTAACAGAAAACAGGAAAGATCCTCTTCCTGGAGCTCCCTCACAGTCTCAAAATTCCCTCTGATTTGGGCCAACTTGAACCAACCATTTGTTGCTAGGCTACTCGGGGGACGATTGGCCAACCTTGGGTCACACACTGCATTTGGAGTCAGGAGTGGAGCTTAATCTAAAACACAAGGTCTGCCCTAGCTGGTTTGGCACAGTGGATAAGAGCGTTAGCCTGCAGACCCAGGTTAGATTCTGGTCAAGGACACATGCCTGGGTTGCAGACTCAATCCCCAGTAGGGGGTGTGCAGGAGGCAGCCAATCAGTGATTCTCATCATTGATGTTTCTATCTCTCTCCTCCCTTACTCTCTGAAATCAATAAAAATATATTTTTAAAAAATGTATGGACTCAATAAAAATATTTTGAAGCACAAGGTCTAAGATTAGAGGATAGGAAATTTCTTAAAAGGAAATTAGGGTGCTGTTATAAAAAAGAGAAAATATATTCAGGGTTGCCAAAAAAAACCATAAATATGCTACTTCAACTTACTCAAATATTTTAAAAACACTACACAGGCCAAATAAAACAGGTTTTCTGACTGAAGGGGCTTGTCAACTTCCAGTTTCAATCCTTTCTCTATTTGTTTCATAGGTGATCTCATCCAAGATGAGCCTTCATTTACCATCTCTATACCCCAAATGCCACATTTTTATCTCTGACTCACAAATTCAACTGCCTACTCAACATCTTCACTTGGATGCCTCAAACTCATCTCAAATTCAATTTGTCCTAAATGAAATTAATGATCTTCTCACCCTCCATCTGTTCCCACTCAAAGCTGGCCTTTCTTGGAGTTCCTTTTGGGGCGGGGTAGTAAGAGGAGACAAAATCAACATGACTGAGGTATTGTTTGAAAAGAAAAAAACCTTGCAGGAAGTTAATTGTAAGACTCCACTGAAATTCTTTGTCTATTTAAAATATTCAAGAAAGACATTTGATATCTTAATTCATCTCAATTTGCAATTTCCATTTTCCACCTTTTCCCAATGAATTTTTAAGACACATAGTAATAAAGTTTCATCATAATAAATAAATGGAGAAAGATTGTCAATGGACTTCCAAAGATGCTTTTGCTTGTTAATCTGTTAATGCAGATGTCATGTTCTATCAAACATATTATCTAGTTTGATCCTGACAACAACCCAGGAGGTGGTAAAGCAAACACTAACATATTTCATCAAATCTAAGAAATCACTGATTGTAAGATGCAACATTATTTTATGAACCACTGGGGGAAAAAAAAACACACACCACAAATTGAAAAATAACATATAATGCACTGTAAAACAGATCTGGTTTTCAGATATATTAAAATGTAAAGTAACAAAAAGTATGTCTTAGAATCTTGGAAAAATAGTAGCATAAGGATCACTTTTCAAATAAAGAACCAGAGGCTCAGAGACTTGTCCAATCCTATATAATAAAAGCCTAGGTGGCATCATGCCCTCGTGCAACATTGCCACAAGATGACCTTGCGCACAGCGGAGGCAGGGCCTGGCAGCCACTCCACGCAGTGAGGCCTGGGGGTCCCGTGGCTCTGCGGTGTGGAGGAGGCTGGTCCCGGAGTCTCTGCTGCATCATGCAGAGGAGGCGGGTCACAGCAGGGGAGGGCAGTTGTGGGCAATCAGGCTGGCAGGGGAGGGCAGTTGGGGGTGATCAGGTTGGCAGGGGAGAGCAGTTGGGGGTGATCGGGCTGGCAGGGCAGGGTAATTGGGGGTGATCAGGCCAGCAGGGGAGCGGTTAGGTGGTGATCAAACGGCTTAGGCCCACTCCACTTAAGCTGTCAGTCGGACATCCCCTGAGGGCTCCCAGACTGCGAGAAGGCGCAGGTTGGATTGAGGGACGCCCCCCCGCCCCCCGCACAAATTTCGTGCACCGGACTTCTAGTTAATTAATAATTAATTGTCCTGGCCAGGTGATTCAGTTGATTGAAGTGTTGTCCTGTATGCAAAGGGGTTGTAGGTTCAATTCCTGGTCAGAGCACATACCTAGGTTGTGGGTTCAATCCCAGTCGTGGTGGGTGTGGGAGGCAGCTGATAGATGTTTCTCTCTTTCTCTTCCTCTCTCTTTCTCTCTCTCTCTGTCTCTCTTTCTCCTTTCCTCTCTCAAAACATATCCTCAGGTGAAGATTTAAAAAGTTAACAATAATAATTAATTGATAACTAATAAGTTAAAGAAAGGACTCGAACCCATGGGGATCAGTTTCCTAATCCATTCAAACCCAGTCTAGCCCTTAGGTTTGAATGATCTCTAGAGTTTCTTCTGGGGCTCCAAGACCTTTTCTCATACAAAGTTAGTGAAAGAATATCAGAACTGTGTCAACTCAGCAAATGCTTTTAAATTGACATGGATTCTAAAGACAGAATAATTTAGAACTTGACTTTTCTGTAACTCCTAGACAGCTTAGGAAATACTGCTAGCATAAATTGCAATACATGCCATTATGTAAGAAAAAGATTACTTCATTAATTTCACTGCTAACTCAGCAAGGCTCCCACAAAACCTTACAGTTTGCTATCAATTTAAATATGATTTACAAGACAATTTTCACTTGTGAAGTGATAGTAGTGGGCATTTAGTCAAGCTAAAACTTTCATTCTTTTATAATCAAGTGTACCCATTTGGTGATTTTTTTTCTGTCCTTGTGTCTAAAATACCCATTTGGAAAGAGGCCATGCTATACCTAATCACCGTATAAATTAATGCAGAGTAAATGTGTAAGCCTAACAGTTCTAATCAGTTTGTGCAAAAAACCTTTTGATTTCAACACCAAACATTAAAAAGAAATTTTGTGGCAAAAGCCAAGAAATTTGGTGTGTGGGATATGAATATGATAGAATAGGCTTAATTCATGATAAAGTTTTAAATTTAAATCTCATTGTTTAACAGTTGGTATTCCCCACAGCACCTAGAGCAGTGTCTTAAACATATAAACACCTAATAAGCACACATGATGATATACAATTAGAAAAACAATGTTCTCTCTGTTTTCATAAATGTTCCTTCTTCATGGCCTGTGCTGGCTTTGCAAAGGGAAACAGTTTAGTAAATTCTTGGTGGTGCCTAGTGTGAGTCTATTTTTGCACCAACAGGCACATCAGATGTAATACTGGAAGTCCTCAAGGGTGGCAGGCTAACCAGTAGGAACAAACATAAAAGATATTCAGATGGTAGATTACCTTTAAGTATGCTTAATAACTGAGCATATTGAAAGGCTTTCTTTTGAATAATCATAAAAGCAACATCTAATCAAGAATATATAACAATCTTGAATTTGTATGCCCTTAACATGATTCATTATAAAGAGAAATTAATTAATTCATATTCACAGTAAAATATTTGTAACATACTTTAATTAGGACCTGACCCGTCAAACAGACAAAAAGAGAGGAAAGATATGTAAGAGATGAAGAACTAATTTAGGAAACCTGGTCCAGTATAGGTACATGGAAGCCTGAATCTGAATAGAAAATGCATATCGTTTTTAAGCACACATTGACGACTTTAGCAAAGCAAGTCTCAACACATTTTAAAGAATGTATAGTGAACAAACCATCTTTTCTATCCACAGTGTGATTACATTGGAAACAAACATACCCTTAAATGTACTGCAGATTTAAGATAAAGTCAATAAAAATTATAAAATATGAACAACTATGAAAGAACTACATAACAAAACTGTGGGATACATTACCTGGAGGTAAAATATTTTATTTTATTGTTTAAAGTATTACAAATAATAGTACATATGTCTCATTTTTTAAATATGATGTCCAAGCAGTACCCGAAGTAGAATTAAGAGAGCTGGTGTAGCCACTTGCTAGATGTGACCTTGGGCAAGTCACTTCTCTGAACCTGTTTTCTTAATTATTACTTACTCATCCCTCAGGGTTACTGCAAAAGAAATTAAGGCAGGGGGAAATATTTTATAAACCCTAAAGCACTATACAATATAAGGTATCATTTAAGGATACTAGTAAGATGTCCTGTGGCCCAGATTATTGCAATGACTTTTTTGGGGGAAGGGGACTATTTAAGATGAAGTCAAGAGGGTTCTTCCTAAAATATAAACCCAACCGATCATGCATTCCCAGGTTTAAAGACTCCTTCTTGCCAAAGGATACATTCTCAAGTGTTTAGCTTTGTGGATAATGCTCTTCAAAAACTGGCACCTTGCAGACCCATCTCTGGCTTTCCTTTTCAAAGACCACAGCAAATGCACAACTGACCCCTGATCACACTCTCTTCCACACTTATTTGCCTTTGCTATTTTGGTGGAATTTCTGGCTGTGATTATCACATCACATCCAGGACTCCTTGGCTGCTACTATAGCACCATCCACACCATCGGGAGGCTCTGACCAGCTCTGGGCAAGGAGGGCCAATGCCTTATTCTTCCCCATACCTTGTACAAAGTCCAACATACAGCACTCAGTAAATGTTCCTTGCGTGATAGGCAAGGGAGGCCCATATTTGCATATCATAAAAAGATGGTGCCAAGGAGAGACTCTCAAGGGAAGGTTGTCAATTGAAAAAGGCTTAGAGGCCCTAATAAAAATACTACAGGTTCACATCTCTTTTCAAATGCCCCAAGGCCAGATGTGTTTTGAAATTCAAAAATGTTGACATTTTAGAAAGGTAATATATGCCTTATGTTCCCAGTAGAGTATCTCAGCACTCCATACCCAAACACAGTAATACTTCTGCAGCAATATAAATCACCACACTAAATGAGATAAATGAAGAATATAAACAGATTCTGATTCGTTCAAGTCAGATTTTGCCACTAAATAGGTTATGAGAGCTTTCAGAGCCTTTGGATTCAGGTCGTAGATCCATATCACCTGATTTGCATGCGCAGCTTTTCAGATCCATTTTCTCTTTTGCTCAGATATTCCCTATAGCAGGATCAACCCATATTTAGGCAACAAATAAAAGTGGCCGCATACCTCAACAGCAGCAGATAGGCTATAAAATACTCTGAGAAGAAGGGGTTCAAAGGTACATACAAATGGCCATCACCACTGGTAACTGTTGCAGCCTCTTAGAGCAAGAAAAAAATCTCGGTATCCAGCATTGAAGGACCAGGTGAGAAAAGCAGCAATGCACAGAGCAGAAAATGACTGCATGAATGACTGTGTAAACCAATCAATCAATAAATATGATTAAGTAAGCCTATGGCTGATTTCTAAATGGCTCTCCAACAGGGGAATGTGGAAGAAATACTAGTATACCAATACAATAGCATTCATCTGACAAAATCAAGCTGTCCCAGATCAATCCAACTTGCTCCCATATCAAAATGGAAATAGCAGTGTATGCTATCTGCTCTTCAGGACTTCAGGGTAGAACAGAATAATTAGTTTTTGCAAAAATTATATAGATATAGACATATATTCTTTTAAAATATATAGTATAGAAACACTCCCATGCAATGCCTCATGTGGAACACTTCTTTTAGAACCAAATGTTAGCAGAAGTAAAACTTTCCCTGAGAAACTGGTAAGTGCTTTCCTTTCTAAAAAGAAGTATGTACTACATATCTAAGCAGAGGAAGGAGTAAGCATAATCTCATTTCCAATGAATCCTAACACGCTGACATCCATTTGTGTTTATCTATGAATCAAAAGGTTCTTATTTCAGGTCTAAGGAGAATTCTGCCTTCTAAGACTTAGAACAGGCATCTCTTGATTCTGTCACACACCAGAATCCAATAATAACAGCAATAGCTACTATTTAACCCTCTGAGTCCTCACTACATACAAGGCATGGAGTTGAGCACCCTGAAGGCTTCAATTGATATTCACTTTAATAAAAGAATGTACTTTGCATCTCTCTGATGATTACTGACTTTGAGCATGTTATCTTATGTCTCTGTGCCTTCGGTATGTCCTCTTTCGAAAAGTATCTATTTAGGTCCATTGCCCATTTTTTTTTTGATTGGGTTGTTTATCTTCCTTTTGTTAAGTTGTATGAGTTGTAAATGTTGAAGATTAAACCCTTATTGGTCATAACATTGGCAAATATGTTCTCCCATGCAGTGGGCTTTCTTGATGTTTTGTTGATGGTTTCTTGTGCTCTTC